ACACACATGCATGCACACTTGTTATCTCCCACTCTCACAAACATGCCTCTCTCTCTCTCTCTCTCTCTCCATCATCCACTCTCCCATACACATTTCCTCTACATATACTTCTCTGTGTGTACATGATTTTTTTTTGCATGCATGTGCACATAACCCAAGACAGAATAACATTACAAAAGAAGATGCTGATTTTAAAAAACTGAATCAATATAGCTTATTCGTACAGCATAAAATGCTAAATTCCCTAGCCTATTGTAAATAAACATAATCAACAACTGAAAGATATTCTATCCTACAGGTAATGCATTACACAGCAAATCTAACTGTTACAGATAAGTCCCCTTGACTATACTAGCCTGCCCATACTACCATAGTGATCTACATGCATACAAAACACAAGCAAAGAACTATAATATTTACCTGCTCCGTCTGAGCTGTATCACATCACCTCGGCTCAAAAGATACGTGTACCACCTTCCACAGATAAATCAAATCTGTGTGTGTGTGTGTGTATCATGTGTACCTGTACTCTTGGCTGATATGTACAGACTTCTGCTGTGTGTGTGATATGAGGTGTGTGCAGACTGGGACTACACTGGACCGAACAAGAGATGATCATGCAGACAGCAGTGATACCCATTTACCCTAGGTCCTAGATTTTGGTATCGCCAGCTCGATCTTGATTTCATATATAACCAACAACACATGGAAAGGTACAGTGAGCAAGCTAGCTTTATAGTGCTCTAACACACAGGGTATATCCAATCTTAAATAATTATATGACAATCATGTGTACCTGCACTTATATCTAATATTTACTTATAGCAGTGTGATGCCCAGCATGTTTGTACTAGGATTATTCTGAACCAAACACCATTTGAACAAAGGCACAAAATGACCTTGATGTTAAATCTGTGACAACACAATATAGACTTTGTTTCAAAAGCCTTCCTTACTGTAATAAGTAAACTTATTTATACATGGTTTGCTCCCTTAATTGCCTGTTCATATTTTAAAATATGAACAGGCAATTAAGAGATATTAAAATATATTAAATTATTTAAAAAATGACAAAGAGCATTATAACTCTAAACGTCTACTTATCACAGTTTCATAAACCAGCCTACTCCCTAAATGATACACCAAACTGACCGATGTTAAAGTCTGGCTCAATTTCTGGTCCAAAATAGTCCTTGTCTAAACACAGCATATATATATGTCACCATGTGTCATATGTTTACACATGCACGTGACACCAGTAGGTAGCTGAACTTGTGCTCATATCTGAAGACAAATTAATTCCAAAAACAATCAGTCTTAATTGTGAAAACAACATACACACAATATTAAGTATTCCCTGTGGCAAATTGCATGCACGTGAATCCAGAAAGAATTAAGAAATCCAGTGTATCTAGTGAGAAAATCATGCACATATCCATTAGGTGTGTATATTTTTATACCGTTCCTGTTTTACCTGAGCAAACATTCAGTAGCACTGCATTCCACGACTGTTTTATATCAAGCCAACAGACAAACCACACATTACCATACTGCAATTAGTCATAAATTTCAGACCCCTTCTTTCTTTCAATTAATATCTAATGCATTATCCTTTCAAGACCTTAACATTTTAGCTACCTACAAAGACAATTCTCCAAGTCCAAGTCACTTTTCACTCCATACACATGATCCCCTAACAGGTGTTATAAACAAAGCACTACTTTGAGGGAAATTAATAAATCAATGTTGTTTGAATATGGAGAGTAATTACTGTAACTGTGTTAACCCGTCTACAAATCATTATTCATGTATGCCAGAGACCTGACACTGTTCAGCCTCCATATCCATGACTCCTAAAAAGACATCAATTAAGGACAAATAATTTGCAAAACATTCTATGAGATGATGTTACGGTAATTCTTTGAAATTTTCCTCACCTCACTTTTAAAAAAAAATTCTTTTTTTCAATTTGTCAGAATACTCATTTTAATTAAGCTGAAAATTGCACTTTATAACCAGAATTAACAATTCGATAGTTTAAAATTCGAATTTTTTTCAACAATACATTCTGTGGAGAATTTTTTAAATTTTATTATGTCCAAATTTAATGAGTAATTACTGTAGTCAGCTTCATACACATTAGCCCAGTTAGGACAAACATTATGAAAGGTATACAGCAAACATTTGAAAATATCCAAAAGACAAATTGTGTGTCTGAATATCCTGCAATGCTACTTTCATTCCAAATTTGGACCTTAAAAATGATAAAACTCTTCAAATAAATGGGTCTGTAAGGTTGACAATTTCATTGAAATATTTACAGGAAAACTAAACACCAAACATTGATAAAACTTTCTTTTTTCAGCACTGACTACATGTATTAGTGCTTATAATCACCCTAACCTAATTAGTTTTCTAGACTAATTCTCAATTAACAACCTGTTGCATAGTATAATTCTTCATCCTCAATTATGAAAAGAGTGCAGCAACAACATCCCCCACCATAAAATAGAAAATCACAAAAATGCATTCGTCAGCACTGGTATATACCTGGTATGTACCTAAGCAACCTCACCAAAATCAGTAGTTTTCCAGATTTTTCTGATGCACCTACCTGGTTATATAAATTCCTCACTCTGCAGTGATAAAGGGCCCAAAACAACAAGAGAATTAAGCCAGCTGTCAAACTGTCAAGGCTCTCTCAGAATTAAAACATCCGACAACAGGAAAAAAAGGTGATCACACAATTCAGAGGACTAACACACATAAAAAATATGTCACGGACATGCTGCTATACAGAGAGGATCTGCACTATCGGTCTACACTGTCTATTTCAAGGCCAATAATACACATATATCCTGTCTCAATAGCAGTTATGACCTACTTACTGAGCTAATGATATTGTTGATTGCAACGTGGTGACCTTATTTCCTATTAACAGGGCCTAGGTGACTGATGATAATAATAATAATTATCATTATTATTATTATTATCAATATTATAATGACTATCTCATTTTTTTTCACCATCAAGACACACGAGGTTGTTGTTTTGAATTCCTGAGTTTTCCATTCAGCAGCTATATAGAGTCTAGGAAACTGATGGTAAAATCACCTTGTATGAATTAAAGCAGGCCTAGCTTAGAAACTGATACAATAACATCAATATGTTGGTAGTAACATCAATGTAAGCACACACATACAGTACTGCACACCTGTCTCAATGACACACAGGAGAACATAATAATGAACCCAGACTATACTCAGGAGAGAGAGAGAGAGAGAGAAACATACAGATAGAGTTTGAATCTTCTTCACTTCTTATATATTCAGTGTAATTAGCAGCTAGAAGATGTGAAATACCATGTTATCATACCCCTTCACTTAGACTTAAGATCAGGTACACAAGAGCAAAACACTTTGATCTTAATAGGGATTATACAGGTACTATAATCACAATAAATGACCCAGGATGTCTCAGACCAAAAACTCTAAGCCAACAATTTGTTCAATTTAATTACAAGATAAACACATGTGCAGTAGTCCACTAAAATGTTGATACTTGGCATTGTTAGTTTCAAACAGGGAAATACCATATTGCCCTATCATGAGTCAACTGTGAAAGATCAAAGACTAACATCCTGCACCCCGTAACTCGAAAGCATCGGGAATTGCGACCGAGCGGAAGTGTCTCAATTCCATTACTCGCCCATGTAATACATTNGTTTACGGTACTCTGCAGGGTACTTCTTATTAATTTACACTCACTCTAGAAATACCAGTATTTAATACATGGATTACTATAAGTAAAGCTTAAGGCTGTTGTTATATCCAGGGGTTTACTTAACATGACCAGGGCCCTGTAACTCGGAAGCATCGAAAAGCAATTTCACATAGAGGCTATAATGTCAGGCCTACCCAACTACCAGACTCGGCACCGAATGATCCTGAATTCACCGGTAGATCAGACCACACTACCTGTTTTCAAGGTGTGTGTCAGATCGCATTACACAGTATCATACCCTGAACAAATTTTGAGTGGTGATGCAATGCTTTTCAACCCCGCTGAGAATCGTTACTATCACATCGCGTACTAGGCAAGAGCGGTGTCGCGTCTGATACTGTGTAATGCGATCTGACACACACCTTGAAAACAGGTAGTGTGGTCTGATCTACTGGTGAATTCAGGATCATTCGGTGCCGAGTCTGGTAGTTGGGTAGGCCTGACATTATAGCCTCTATGTGAAATTGCTTTTCGATGCTTCCGAGTTACAGGGCCCTGGTCATGTTAAGTAAACCCCTGGATATAACAACAGCCTTAAGCTTTACTTATAGTAATCCATGTATTAAATACTGGTATTTCTAGAGTGAGTGTAAATTAATAAGAAGTACCCTGCAGAGTACCGTAAACACAAACAAACTCCTCTTCACTTGGGGTCAAATACCTGGATCCACACTAGGGGGCTCTGCAAGCCTCAGATTAATATTTTCTTATAGATCATCCATGTGATAGTTTTTACTAACTTAGAAGCTACCTGGACTGTAAGCCAAATCACAAGGTAATTATTTTAATTTTCCTCTCTGTTAGTCTTCTTTGAGCATCCTCTTTGAGCTAGAGTAATGACATTTAATCTTTGGGTATATATATGTAGTTTCATTGTACAATCTTATGTTTTGTTGTGTCCTATTTCAAAATTTTGTAAATGATAAAGAATCACCACAGCTAAATTTATCTTTTCTACAAAATTTTAAACTGAGTCACATATTTAATATTGTGTTGTGAGCAAACTATCATGCTAGGAAAATGGAATTCCTCTTAATCATGATTCTATTTTATTGTTATTATAAGATTTGTATTTTGTGCAAATATCATTAAATTTGGGAAAAATAAACACCATCCATCCAGGCATATAAAATGTGACAAAAAGAATCACTTTGAAATACCATATTTACAAACAACCAATCCAATAGCTTTCATATTTGCGAGAGGTAACAACTCACCGAGTCTGGCATCTCTCTTGGAATGTTTGGCTGTGGGTGAGGGAACTGACTGTACAAAACTGCTGGTGGCGCCATCTTTTGATCGTTCGACATGTTCTAACATGTCCGCTGCATTGGTGATGTGCCTTTCTAGGGCCATCTGGTGAGCCTGGGCAGTCTACAACATAAGCAGGTAGTCTTGAAACATGTATTAAGGGAGAAATACTTACAGACATGGAAGTGAGTTGGACATGATAGTGTGTTAGTTGCAACACTGTGCTAGATGTGACAGTGTGTTAGATGTGACAGTGTGTTAGGTGTGACAGTGTGTTACATGTGACAGTGCTTTTGGATGCAACACTGTGCCAGGTGTGACAGTGTGTTAGATGTGACAGTGTGTTAGGTGTGACAGTGTGTTACATGTGACAGTGCTTTTGGATGCGACACTGTGCCAGGTGTGACAGTGTGTTAGATGTGACAGTGTGTTAGGTGTGACAGTGTGTTACATGTGCTATTACTTTTGGGACCATATCATTTGTGAAGCAACTTTCATATTCCCCAGGGGCCCATCCCCCAGGGTTCAAACACAAATTGAGAAGCTTTAATTAGCTCCTTACTGTACTTGCAGAACATTGGGCAGGAAGAAACTAATAGACGGAACAAAAGAACAGCAATACAGACAAAAATGTTAAATAAAGTAAAAGGCAGAACGTTTATCAATTACATTGTGAAACGAGGAAATATCATTTAGGGAATGTTAAAAGCCAAGTCTTCTAAAAAGGTGTAAAGTAAATATAAATCAGATGGAAAGGAAGTCCTACCTGTAAAGCATCCTCCATGGTTCCCAGAGGCACTAGATCTTCCAAATCTTCATCCACTATCTGGGTACCCTGGTTGATGTAGTGAGTGCTGTAGGCAATATGGCTGCCTAAATTGTTCATCCATTTCTGAAATTTTCAAATCAGTTGGATGAGTAAATAAATATTGATATTTATTTCATACTTTGATATTCATTTTATACGACTCCAACCCAATAATTCATTAAAAAACAATAATAAGATGGAGACAGTAGTAGTAGTAGTAGTAGTAGTAGTAGTAGTAGTAGCAATAGTAGTAGCAGTAGCAGTAGTAGTAGTAGTAGTAGTAGTTGTTGTTGTTGTTGTTGTTTTTATAGAAGTACCACAATAAGTGGTGGTAGTAAAGAGAACAACAACAACAACAACTACAACAACAAACAAGTTAATGTAGCAATAACCCTCACATGTAGTTGTATGACAGAAGCTTCCTCTGTGGTCTCAGGTTGCACTGCCAGGGTATGCTTGGTGGAGTCTGAGAATACTATGGTGAAGATCAGGCTTCTTTCTTCTGGCTACGGGGACAAATAAATCATCTTATAGTTTATAATGCTCATCTGATCTCTGGTGTTGAGGGCTTATGTGCTTATCTCTGGAGCAACATGTAATCTGCTTTGTTTTTAATAGACACAAATCCATGCCCATTGCTACTTAAGGTGTTTGAAATACCAGGTATAAATCCATAATTACTAGAGATTTATGAAATACCCCGTGTCACTGACCTGGCTTGTTTGGGAGTAAACATTCTGATTCAGCCAGCAATATAATATCACAGAATTGAGAAAAATAAATCTAGAATTGATGTATGATGTAATGCAGTCGTGACTCAGCGTTGTGATTATAACCACCTGTCATTTGACCAGGTCACAGTGACCCCCCTCAAAGGTCCATGGTATCAGTCAAAGAATTATACAACAAGATGCTTATTAGTTTTCTCGTCTGTGATTGTTTAATTATTCTCTGTCAATACACAGCCGTCTCTTTGTCTCCTATTTCCTCTATCACTATCTTACACATACCTTAATTACTTACCAATAATAACTCGTGCCTCTATCACTCTCTCCCTTCCAACCACTGATTTATTTTAGACATGTATATATATATATATACAGGAGAGAGAGAGAGAGAGAGAGAGAGAGAGAGAGAGAGAGAGAGAGAGAGAGAGAGAGAGAGAGAGATAGGCAGGCAAGAAGACAAAGATACTGAAGACAGGAATATTCCTAAATTACCTTTATTTTGGCATTATCCAAATACTTGAAACCCTTTCTCTTCACACCTGTGGTAGCATCTCCCCTACATAAAAAAAATCCATATTGCATCTTAATACCTGGCGTGGTGACTACAACCTCAACACACAGGTATGAAATACTATTTTTTCTGTTATTTAACACAACAACTTAGTTTCTTGGAAATAACATTTACTTGTCACGTGGATTGAGTGTTTATATTATACAGTGTATCAATTATGACGTTTATTCCTTGGCTTTCATTAATAATTTAAGTGCTTGACTAAATCTCTGCTACGCTTAAAGATAGCTGTCTTTTTGGTAATATTGAAAGAAACAAGGTGGGTGTCTGTTGTCTTAACAGTAAGACAGGTGTCACCCCTTTCATACATACCTGCTATTGAAGTATGTAAGAACACCCCTCTCCAAGACAGCCCATATCGACTTCCAACCCCGCAGGCGAGATCTCTGTAAGAAAATTAACAATCAGATACTGGTTAAATATAATATGTGATCAAGAACCTTTGAAGAAAGGCCCTAAGGCCATGTTTAGCATCTTTAGAGATTATTTACTTTTTTAATCTTCTTTAATTTCCACAACAGACAATGTCAAACCTTTTTGACTGCATCAAACATAAAGTTTCTTTTACTGAGGAAGAAATGTACTATTTACAGCTTTAATCACTAGCTGAAGTTTGACATTTTGCAAAAAAAAAAAAAAATAATAATAATAATAACTTTTAATTTAAATATAAATAACAAAACAGTCAACAAACACAACTTAATTTTACAAAAATTTGAAAAAAAATTTTTTTCATTTATATAAAATTTACCAAAACCATCTATTTTCAACAGATGTCTCAAATTGTATACTGATATTGAGCCAACAGCTTTCTATTTCTCAACCACATAATATAATAGACTCAGTTCAGTCCCCCAAATCCCCTTACCTTCAACAGGGCCCCCTCAAACCTCTGGACCCCCCTCAGGATGTCCCTGACTGGCTGGACATCCAGGATTTGCCTCATGGACGCCGTCCGTGCCATCTCAGCAGCTGTCTGACCTGAAATTAAGTTTTAGAAATTGTTTCAACGGCATCTTGGCAGGTAATGGAATCCCCAACCATGCCCCCCCCCTTTTATAATTTGCAGACTGTTTAAAATACATTTCAAGTTATCTCACACATTTTGGGTACGTAACCTAAACAAATGAAGTCATTTTTTCAAACACTAATGATACTTAAAATTTGCTTAGTAAAGGGTATAATATCTTATTATTTTTCAGCAATATTTATCATTGATGCAGTTCAAAATTCAATCTTTTGCCTAACATCATCCTGCTGCATAAAAAACAATTCCCAGACATTCATCTTCATTGTGCACATTCTGATATGATTTCAGGTTGTAAGAAAAAGAAGAAAGAGATGACCCAATCACCACATGACTGCTGGTCTGGGGGGCACTGACGTCAGAAAACCGTAAAAAAAAAGTCATGTTCGATTAAGTGCAACTGTATAAATGCTTATGCAGGGGTGAATGGGGGTGGTCTTCTGGAAGACAGTCAGAAATTTTCAAGCTTACACTGACGGTCATCTATTTTTTTCTCTCGGTAGATGGTCAAAATTGGAGAATAGATCAAAAAAGATAACTTGGAAGACTCTCAGAAAATATCAGTGGATCTGCCCCTGGTTATGGTTGTGATAGTTTGGATTGTGAGATGTCTCAACAAGCACAATCTCTAACTGGCAGCGAATAGTAACACCAGCAAATACATATATCCAAAGAAATATCTCTCTCTCTCTCTCTCTCTCTCTCTCTCTCTCTCTACAAATGAAGGAAACACTAACATCTATCCCCAAGATATTTTGTTTCCAGCTCAGCACCAACCTTGGTTGTTCTTAATGGCAGGGTTAATCCCGTTCTGTAGCAGCATGACAGCAGCCTCTTTCTGTCTGCGGTAGGAGGCACAGTGCAGGGCTGTGTTGCCAAACTTGTCGGTACACTCTATGTTTGGAGGGTTGGGTCCTTTGAGCTGAAACAAAGCAATAACTGACTTAAGTGCATATACTGCTTGTTAGGTAAGTTAATATATTGTCTACGGTATGTTAGGTTAAGAAGCTTAAGATAAAACACTTTATGTAAAATATACAACTTTTTTCTGTAACTGTATATAATCTTATAAATGTTGTAATCCAAAATTTTTGTTTCATTTGGGTAACAAGAATACATATCATATGTATAAATTTAAACATTTGACATCAAGAAAACTACTCCTAGACCACCCAGAGGTCAAAAATAATTATATTGTAACTGTTCTTTTTATACTTAAAAACATTAGTAGTTATGAATCCATTACGCTTTTGGTACCCTACTGACAATATTTTCTACTAGTAGTTGTTGTCTATAGACTTGTTAACAACAGAGAGTTCTCAGTGCCTTACAGTATTCTAACTCTGTGACATTACATCATGGAGTGAGTACCTTGCCTTATTCTACTCTACTCACCAAAGTGGCCAGTTTGTCCACATTCCCTTCTCTGGCTGCTGTCAGGAACTCTTCCTCCGTTCTTCTGATGTCAGTGTTCTCTGCAGCTAAATACAAATTTAACACAGTAGTATAGGTAATTATCATGCATGTTGAACTGTAAACTATCGTTTCTAACAGTCCACATACTTTTATAGTTATGGGCGGCCAAAAGGGCAAAAAATCCTGTCGTCGATTCAGTTATGTTTCTTCGATTCACTGCCTTCCCATCGATTCAGTTTCAAGTTTAAACGATCCTGTCATAAATTCAACATCTACTTTCGTCAATTCAACTGTCAAACATTTCTCATCTACGGTGTATTAAAACCAATGCTGTCACTATTTTCGTCGATCGTGTAACTATTCTCGTCGATCGTCTAATCTCGTCGATCGTCCAACTAATCTCGTCGATCGTGTAACTATTCTCATCGATCGTCTAATCTCGTCGATCGTGTAACTATTCTCATCGATCGTCTATTCTCGTCGATCGTCTCATCGATCGATCGCCAGAGGGCGCTGCGGTAGCACATTGGCCTATCACATGACTATCAAAATGGCAGACAACAAAATGATTGCTAGTGAAATAAGAACATTTTCTCAACAATTTCAATTTTAGTTGTTAATAATTAAAAGATATTCGGTTGTAGGGACATTATTTTCTACTTGTGCTTAACTCTGACCATGGCTGGCCGAGTTAAAAATTACCGCGTGATTGACAGACAGAAGCACGTGTTGCTACCGCAGCGCCCTCTGGCGATCGATGAGACGATCGATGAGAATAGTTACACGATCGACGAGATTAGACGATCGACGAGAATAGTTACACGATCGACGAAAACAGTTTGACGATCGACGAGATTAGTTACACGATCGACGAAAATAGTGACAGCATTGGTTTTAATACACCATAGATGAGAAATGTTTGACAATTGAATTGACGAAAGTAGATGTTGAATTTATATCAGGATCGTTTAAACTTGAAACTGAATCGATGGGAAGGCAGTGAATCGACGAAACATAACTGAATCGACGACATGAATTTTTGCCCTTTTGGCCGCCCATATATAGTCAATTACTTTCAAGGATAATCAGTTACAATGAACATACTACCTAGTAAATATTATCTTATTAACAAAAATTTAAATAAAATAAAGCTTTTAAGAAATATTCATATCACCCTTTCAGATTTTACTTTATTTGCCACATTATGCCAAATCTACAAGTCAACAGCTTAACAGGGCAACCTACTCAAGGATAAAACATTACTCTAAAACTAAAATTGTCTTACTCACCTTCAATCATCTCTCTGATGTCTTGTTTATGGGACACCTGTCTGGGAGTGTGACCCTCAGCATTGGCAACACTCACACTGGCGTTATACTGGAGTAGAACATGGACTATGTCCTGGAGAGATAGGGCATATACCAGTGAAGATTTGGAAAGACTGTCGGATCTTCAGTCAGAGTTATAGTACACGCAACAGGCAATTATCAGGATAAAGTTATTCTAGTTGACAAAGGGTACAAGTGACAGTAAAAAGCAAGTAATTCTAAATATTAGCATCCTAGACTGGGAGATGAGCATCTGGACCTCCAATGTTTATCATGACAGGTCAGCTCAGTATGGTCTGCTCACTTTAGAATTATGGTAAAAATTCTCTCTCTCTCTCTCTCTCTCTCCTCACCAGTCTCCCAGTGTAAGCTGCCTTGTGAAGGGGTGTGTCACCCTCTTTGTTCATGATATTCACTTCAGCACCATTCTGTAAAATAAAACATATATACACACATATATATATATAGCACTGCTATAACATTATAAGAAAATAATTTCATCAGATAAGTCTTGGAATTAGAGGAAGATGTTCTAGATAAACCGTAAATAAAATTAATATTTCAATTCTTAGTGTGGCTGTTGAAAAATTACCCTTTTACTTTTAAGTGTTAGTTTATAAAAATATTAGACATGCAGTTAGTATTCACCCATAGTTTCTTAATTCTCTCCTGGACTACCAATAGCGGTCAACAGAGAATTACTTTTAATATGTATTGTGAAGTTGCATTACCCTCAGGAAGACTTCTCTCAAGGCATGGATATCAACTAGATAAGTCTACTTACTTTTAATAACAATATCACAGTGGTCACATGTCCAAAGTACGCAGCGAGGTGTAGAGGACTCCAGCTACGGTTGGACTTGTTTTCACCTGTTAAATAGGACAAGATTGCGCTGGGTGAGACATATGATGTTGGCTGTGATATAATTGTGCTAGGTGAGACAGTTAAAAGGTGGGTGTAATACGATTGTGTTAGGTGTGACAAGACTGTAGATTTTACTGGAATTATGGTAGGTTTTATGTCATTGTAAATTCAGATGTGGCTAAATTGTGATGGATGAGAAAAACTGTATTAGGATGATTGTAATGGTGGAGGTAGTAACATAACTGGATTAAGTACAATATTGTGTTAGGTGTAACAATACTTGCTAGGTGTGTCTAGATTATTTAAGGTGTGACAATATTGTGTTAGGTATAACAATATTGTGTTAGGTGGGACTGGATTGTGTTCAGTGTAATCTAATTCAGTTAGGTGTGACCTGAGCCACACTCACCTTTACAGTTCAAGTTTAATGGTAACCCATCTTGCTGACAGCGTTGTATCAGATCACTCAGCTTGCTATCCATCCCATGGCGAGCATAGTGCAACAATTCTTCATCCACTGTTAAGAACTTTTCTTCCTTAGGGCTTTCAAGGTCTACAATAAATTACATATCATTTAAACATAAATTAACAAACAGTAAAAAAAACATTAGCTGTGTTGTGGACTCAAATGTACAATCATTGAATGTTAGCTCCTGCAAATAATGATAAAAATATCAGAGGTATTATCATTACAGGTAGCCTTATTCTCTGATAAATATGTACTACAAAATATAATTCTGGTTTTAAGCTGTTGTTTGTAGAAATGCTTTTGTAAAAGACATAACTAAACACATAATAAAAGACAGATCATTTACAAAAGTAAATATCAATGATGTTCATATAGAAACTCCATAATTCAAGTGATTAAGTATAGATATATTAAACAGTATATATACTACTATTTTATCAAGATCAGAGGAACGGTACTTGTGCCCCCCCCCTCCCCCAAACACACATGCACACATGGCACATGTAAGTCTTTTTTTTTTTTCAGTATCTTTCAGTAAATTGTGAGGTGGTTTTGATCAATTAATGTCTTTTTTCTTTCACATAAATTAATTTATAATTTACTGACTGATTTAATTTTGTTTGCTCGCCAAAGAAATGGTTCCAGCTCTCATTATATTATGAATGAATCTGGAGCTTCTTTTAAAGTAGCGATAAACCATTATAAACTTTACTGGGTAATTGAGAAAAACACTAAGAAAAAGAACATGGTCAGAAGTGCTTAATTAGTACTGTACTGGAACCGGTACATAAGCAGGGGCAGATTTAGGCCGTCTTCTGGGTCTTCCGGAAGACGGTCAGATTTTCAAGTTTACATTGACGGGTATCTATTTTTTCTGATGGAAGACGGTCAAAAATGGGGGATGGATCAACAAACATAATTTTGAAGACTCTCAGAAAATATCTCTGGATCCGCCCCTGCATAAGCATGCACCAAAAGAAATCATGCAGCATAATGTATTATATTGGAAGAATTTCATTCTAGCCTGACACGTGGGGAAGCTATTAGCTGAAAGAGCTTAAATCACTATCAGAATGTCATAAATCAAATATCAATAATATAATAGCGTGTATGTTATATATATCACAAACCCCGCCCACTTTCTTGTCCCATTAATCTAAGTGAAACCTACCAGGAGTTTCCAGATTGTCTTCTTGTGTCGCCATAGTGCCAGAGTGTGTCTGCGCGTTCTAAAGATTAAACATCAATGGCATTCCATACACGGTCCTTACGGCATAAGCATCGCGCTGTATCACTCTCCTGGAAGTTGAACAATAATAATTAAATGCAAGTAGTTCGGCAAGTACAGTTTACTTTAGTGTATGAGTAATTATCGATATTTTCTCACTCGGGTTCAACGTTTCTCGATATCTCTCCAATGCCAGTTTCATATAGGTTCTGTTCGTCTACAAGATGGGAAGCAGCCCAAAACAACGCTGCAATCTTTCACTTTGTATGTGTTTTCAAATAAAATAGATATCATTCTAAAAATACTTCGCCGCTAACTCGACCCACTTTCTCTTTAGCTCAGCTGACAAACACACATATATGAACGGTAGGTGGAATATGCAAGATAAGACCATCATTTTACGCCATTTTACGACATTATACAAAATTCCCCTGAAAAAAGGAACGCAACCAGAATAACATCATTCTAGTTATTTCAGTGTGTCGAGCTGACTTGGTCTGATTATCCAACAAAATTTTTTTCAGGCGACGAGCACTTTGCTCTAAGACTGTCATTTAAAAATGGCCGCGCCCAGAGACAGCGAGTTTCATACTTGGTTGGAAGACAGATTATTGAAAATAAACCCTGACATAGATCTCGGAGTTTTTGTGGACTATATTCAAGGCGTTTTGGAAACTGAGACAGACAAAGATGAAATGATAGATGGCATTTCTGGCTTACTAGGAGAAGTTGTGGTGAGTTATGGCATATCCTTTCTTTCTCCCCCCACCCCCAAGTCTTTTTAACGTTAGAACCATGTACCCCCCTCCCCCTCCCCCAAGCCATTTCCATTAGTCTGTAAGTAGGTTAAAAAAACAAGATGAGTCAAACGTTTTTCGGTATGAAAAAAGGAACGTATACACGTGTAGTTACTACTACCAAGGACGTATATTCAATATACGTCCTTGCTACTACTCATTCACAAACTTACATATTTCCTTCAGGAAGATGACGTAGAAGGTGTTTGTGAGACAATTATCAGCAAATGGTTAGAGCATATCCAGCTGAAAGCGACAAAAGCAGAAGAAGGTAGGTGCTGTATGCTGCAAACCATGCATCCAAAGACAGACACGTACAGAGAGAGAGAGTGTGAGAGAGAGAGGGAGAGAGAGAGACAATGGATGCGTTCCCAATGAAACTACATGATCATTCTTCGTAGATCAATCCACCTTTCTGCAGGGAACCTCGTTGAATGTAATTAGATAAGTAGAGTAACAAGTCTCATCCTGACCTTGAGTTGAAAGGCAAGTGATTGTGTACAAGTACATTGGGAACAAGAGGAGGCGTGTTAATCTGATTACATTAATTTAGAGCCCCCTTGGAGTGCATGGATTGATCTTCGTAGAATATCAGTTTCATGGGGAATAAGCCTTGAAAGTGATAAAGAAACTGACACCTTAGAGTTTTCGTAAGGAGTATTGAAATATATTACATTTTAAAATATAGGATGGATTTTACTATTGTTATTAATATTACAGTTGAAATTCAACAATCAGAGGAGATGAAAGTCTAAAAACGTTCAAGTTGCTACAATTACTGAAGAGCTTCATGTAAACGAGTGCAAGTTGAAGCAACAACATTTGAGATCTCAATGACCTTTATATCACATTAATTTTATATTTCTATAACTAATATAATAATATCATTTATAAACAAATTGGGGACACAATCTTAAATATTTCAATATATCCCAATTTCATTTCAGAAACCAAGCTTGCTGATCAAAAGCTTGCAGATATGCTGGAAAAACAAAAGATCTCCATACCCACTGTGAAACCAAAAACAGAGGAAGAGAAAGCTCGAAAAGCTGCCATTTTACAGCAATATGCAGAAATTTCTGATGGAGAATATCCTTTTTTGACAATCCATTGGTTCTGTTATTTGGATTGTGTTAATTAAAAACTTTTAAATGTTCTTACATTGTACTTAGATACAAAGAATATTGAATATTTCATGAAAATTAGTAAACTTTGTCATTACTTACTAACTGACATTTTCCATTTTGTTAATATTTTACTGGGTAAAATTATTTTTTAATTCATTGTACAGACAAAATGTAAACTTTCATCAAGTACTTTATGTCAGTATTCAACAAAGTGTATTGCAGCATATACCCTAACCATCAAAGAAGAAATAAAAGGATTTTGGTATCTTAATTCTATTTGTTAGGTGTTTCCAACTAGTTCTGTTTTAAATTTTGTATAATTTGTGGGAAATACAATAAATAAGCCAAATGCTTCCTTAACATTGCTTCACAGTGACAGACTCTGATGAAGATGGAGGTGACAGTTGTATCCTTTGCTTCAAAAATAATTACATTCATTTATTAATGATATCATTTTTATTAATTATTATATAATTAATTAAAAATGATCTCAAACTGTTTCTCACAAGAATTAGGAGTGCATATATATATATATATCAAAACAAAAAGAATTAAAGAAGAAATATTCTCACTGTAAATACTCAGTGTGCACAACTTATTTTTTAAAGTTATCATTTACCACAATGTTCCTTAATAAATGTTTAGTATTGGTGAAAAATGAAAACTTACAAAAAGTTGGTGCTGAAGAAAAAGAAAAACGAGAAAAGTTAAAACAACAGCATGAGCAAAAGAAAGAAAAAGATAAACTGGACAGAGAAAAACAGAAACAAAAGCAAGCAGAAAGGAAAGAAGCAGAGAAGAAAAGGACTCAGAAAGTAGAAAAAAGAATGAGATAGTGACTAAAAAAGGTTCTTTCATCCCCCCTCCTCCGCCCCAATATAAATATATAAGGAAAACTTCTTATATGGTCTCTTATCTGTTCAAGGCAACATTGGTTTTTTTTGGAAAAGTAGAAAAAAATCTGTCTAGTTTGTTGTCAGTCTAAATAGATCCCCCTATCTCAGCAGGGGGTTTGATTAGGATTGCCACACACGAGAAACAAGTACACCACCACTCACCTCAGGTCCTTTGAGAGTGGATGGTACAACAGAGGGTTTTGATTGGTGAGCATATTGTAATAAGACAGATCACACCAAGAAGGGTTCACCCAGCTCTGGAGATAAGGCATAAGATTGAAAATCATAAGAGGAGTATTTCCTTTGCAAGATATCCAAATTGCAATCGTTATGAGGGTAATTTAGAGTCTTCAGTGTACCTGTGCAAGTGGCCATATTGTTAAAGTATTAAGATATTAGCTATTTCATAACATTAAAGACATGTAGAATAGAGTTGGCACATTTGTTTTTGTCTTTTTATTTAAAAAATTAATGAAATAGAAGATACATATGAGAAATTCCTGAAGGGATGCTACTAAGCACTTTCTCTGCTCTAGGTAGTTATTGACTAGTGTTTGTGATGTGTTTGGGTGCCTGGGTGTGTATGTGAGTGGATTCATTTGCAAAACATTCAGCCAGTTAAGTGCTTCTTCAAAGCATGCAGTAATAAAAAAAAAATTAAATTGAAAAAATATTTATTTTGGTACGAGTTGTCATTTTAGAGCGAAAAAATATTTATTTTGGTACGAGTTGTCATTTTAGAGCCATCTCCTTTTTTTTTCTTTGTACATGTAATACTAAAAATTCAACATATCACATTAAGCTCTATATTTCACCATGTCACATGCCACTTATATTTAAATATATTTAGTTGCTGATAAAAAGCCCTTTTAAACTGTAAGAAAGAAAAATCTTGAAGACGGTGATAAAAATGTCAATAATTTATTTAACTTAACACAAAAAAGATGAATGAAAGAAAGCTGCAGACAAAATTTCCCTCTGAAAAATACAACATCTCAGAAAAAAATAAACGCGCTCCACTTTATATCCTTGACCCTGAATGCTGTACTACTGGAAAGGTCTGCAAAATGCTTAAGATACGGATGATATTTAACAAAAATTACAGGAAATCTGAATATTTTTTTAAAACCCATACAATGGTCACTCCTCTGACCTCCACTTAAAATCCCCATGCATATTTGGAGCAACAATAATATGCCCAAGGCATACTCGGACAGGACCCAGTTTGGTAATGGCATCAGTTCTGAAAGTCCGTGCAAAATTCTCACAGGAATATGCACAGAATTAGCCTGATGAGTATCTTGAAATATCAAGCTAAAAAAAAAACTTATTGAAGAATTCATAATATAGAAAATTCATCGAAGAATCTACTGAATAATTAAAAATCTCTTTAAAATAATTTAAGAATTTTTATGAAATCTATTTATTTAGTGGCCCTGGTATCGGGAAGTCGGGGTACAGGACCTAAAACCATATATATGTCAAGATATACACAGAAAAATATTTGCGTATGTCTGGGGGAGAAAAATCTCCTTGTGACTCCAGCTTGTAGAAGGAAGTCTGTATACAGAGTCCCATAGAACCGCATCTAAATTGTCTTTGTGCTTCCAGAACTATTCACGTGTGTTATAACAACTTCAGTTGCCCTGTCACTTGATCAATGTCTTTAATTTTACCAAATATTCCAAGCACTGTGACTGAGCCAGATGCTATCTGAAATAGAGAGGGAAAAAAATGGTGATTTTTTTTCTCTTGCTTGTGCTGTGATGGTGAAAAAGTCAATATTTTCTAAAGATAGTAAAACTTTTTTTCTTAATTTTTTCATCTATGTCATTTTGTTCCATTGTCTTGTATTATATGTAATTCACCTGTGTTCTCCCAGCATCCTGTACTATATAATTTGGAAGACCTAATGCTTCTGCCTTTACCGCCAATGCTATTAACTCGTCTTTATTTGTCCCTTTTAATACTATTTTTGTCTCTCTGAAAAGGTAAGAAAACAAAGTGAAGACATTTGAGATACTAGCCAATGCTAACTTAGATAGCAAATGATTTTCATTATGCAAGAACAAACATTAAATTGCTGGCACTACGTGAACACAAGCAAGCATACACCCTCTCTCACACACACACAAATAACATGCACTCTCTTACGCTTTCTCACACATAAGTGCACACTAATCCACACATAATTCTTCTCCTCCATCTCCAACTCTCTCCCTCTTTCTTTCTCTCTCTCTCTCCCTCCCTTTCTCTCTCTCTTTCTCTCTCAAACACACAACCACAAACAAATGAAGCATTGTCTAGTTGGTAAGTGCTTAATATGTGCCCTGAGAAAATACTAAAACATTTCATATTTACAAGACGCCAGAAGTGACCTTTGACCTCTGAGTCTGCTCACCCATACTGCTCCCAATGTAGCAACATTTCCCCAAACTTTTGCTGATTGTCCAATATAAAACGGTGAATGCCCAGCGCAGCATGTGCAACTTGTGCTGCCACTTTTCCAACACCCATATTAAGCTCTGAGTTGACCACAAACACCATCTTGTGAAAATCTCCCTCTGCTATGTAGTCTCCTATTTCGTCCTCTGAGCTGTCTGAACTTCCTTCCTGGAGATTTGATGAAACATGCACTATTAGTCTATTACTTATTGAAAAGATAAGGAAAAACAATCATAACATTTGATATTAATAAAAAATGTGTTCCTTGGCAATAATTCCATGAAAATTTGAATTCGCTATGTGAAATGATTGATAACTATCAACATATGCACTACCACAGTAGTACCTAATTCCATTTTTAAAAAATTAAGAGATAAACAATCAACCGTAAAATAAAATTAAAA